TGAGTCATGCTCACCCCTTGGATTGTGAGTCATGCTACCGTAGGATTGTGAGTCATGCTACCCTAGGCTTGTGAGTCATGCTACCCTAGGATTGGTGAGTCCCATGCTACCCTAGGATTGTGAGTCATGCTACCCGAGGATTGTGAGTCATGCTACCCCTAGAATTGTGAGTCATGCTACCCTATGATTGTGAGTCATGCTACCCTAGGATTGTGAGTCATGCTACCCTATGATTGTGAGTCATGCTACCCTAGAATTGTGAGTCATGCTACCCTATGATTGTGAGTCATGCTACCCATGGATTGTGACACATGCTCCCGTATGATTGTGAGTCATGCTACCCTAGAATTGTGAGTCATGCTACCCTATGATGGTGAGTCATGCTACCCTAGGATTGTGAGCCATGCTACCCTAGGATTGTGAGTCTTGCTACCCTAAGATTGTGAGGCATGCTACCCTAGGATTGTGAGTCATACTGCCCTAGGATTAAGAGTCATGCTACCCTTGGATTGTGAGTCATGCTACCCTAGGATTGTGAGTCATGCTGCCCAAGCATTGTGAGTCATGCTAACCGAGGATTGTGAGTCATGCTACCCTAGAATTGTGAGTCATGCTAGCCGATGATTGTGAGTCATGCTACCCTAGGATTGTGAGTCATGCTGCCCTAGGAATTTGAGTCATGATACCCTTGGATTGTGAGTCATGCTACCCTTGGATTGTGAGACATGCTACCCTATGATGGTGAGTCCTGCTACCCTAGAATTGTGAGTCATGCTACCCTAGGATTGTGAGTCATGCAGCCCAAGGATTGTGAGTCATGCTACCCTAAGATTGTAAGTCATGCAGCCCTATGATTGTGAGTCATCATAACCTCTGATTGTGAGTCATGCTACCCTATGATTGTGAGTCATGCTACCCTAGAATTGTGAGTCATGCTACCCTATGATGGTGAGTCATGCTACCCTAGGATTGTGAGTCATGCTACCCTAGGATTGTGAGTCATGCTACCCTAGGATTGTGAGACATGCTACCCTAGGATTGTGAGTCATGTTACCCTAGGATTGTGAGTAATGCTACCCTTAGATTGTGAGGCATGCTACCCTAGGATTGTGAGACGTGCTACCCTATGATTGTGAGTCATGCTACCCTAGGATTGTGAGACTTGCTACCCTATGATTGTGAGGCATGCTACCCAAGGATTGTGAGTCATGCTGCCCTAGGATTAAGATTCTTGCTACCCTTGGATTGTGAGTCATGCTACCATAGGATTGTGAGTCATGCTGCCCAAGCATTGTGAGTCATGCTACCCTATGATTGTGAGTCCTGCTACCCTAGGATTGTGAGTCATGCTGCCCTAGGATTGTGAGTCATGCTACCCTTGGATTGTGAGTCATGCTACCCTAGGATTGTGAGTCATGCTACCCTAGGCTTGTGAGTCATGCTACCCTTGGATTGTGAGACATGCTACCCTATGATTGTGAGTCATGCTACCCTATGATTGTGAGTCATGCTACCCTATGATTGTGAGTCATGCTACCCTAGAATTGTGAGTCATGCTACCCTATGATGGTGAGTCATGCTACCCTAGGATTGTGAGTCATGCTACCCTAGGATTGTGAGTCATGCTACCCTAGGATTGTGAGTCATGCTACCCTAGGATTGTGAGACATGCTACCCTACGATTGTGATTCATGTTACCCTAGGATTGGGAGTCATGCTACCCTAGGAATGTGAGGCATGCTACCCTAGGAATGTGAGACTTGCTACCCTATGATTGTGAGTCATGCTACCCAAGTATTGTGAGGCATGCTACCCTAAGATTGTGAGTCATGCAGCCCTATGATTGTGAGTCATGCTACCCTATGATTGTGAGTCATGCTACCCTATGATTGTGAGTCATGCTACCCTAGAATTGTGAGTCATGCTACCCTAGGATTGTGAGTCATGCTACCCTAGGATTGTGAGTCATGCTACCCTAGGATTGTGAGACATGCTACCCTAGGATTCTGAGTCATGCTACCCTAGGATTGTGAGTCATGCTACCCTAGGATTGTGAGACATGCTACCCTAGGATTGTGAGACTTGCTACTCGATGATTGTGAGTCATGCTACCCTAGTATTATGAGGCTTGTTACCCTAGGATTGTGAGTCATGCTGCCCTAGGATTGTGAGTCATGCTACCCTAGGATTGTGAGTCATGCTACCCTATGATTGTGAGTCATGCTACCCTAGGATTGTGAGACTTGCTACCCTATCATTGTGAGTCATGCTACCCAAGTATTGTGAGGCATGCTACCCTAGGATTGTGAGTCATGCTGCCCTAGGATTGTGAGTCATGCAACCCTTGGATTGTGAGTCATGCTACCCTAGGATTGTGAGTCATGCTGCCCAAGCATTGTGAGTCATGCTACCCGAGGATTGTGAGTCATGCTACCCTAGAATTGTGAGTCATGCTACCCTATGATTGTGAGTCATGCTGCCCAAGGATTGTGAGTCATGCTACCCGAGGATTGTGAGTCATGCTACCCTATTATTTTGAGTCATGCTACCCTAGGATTGTGAGTCATGCTGCCCTAGGATTGTGGGTCATGCTTCCCTTGGATTGTGAGTCATGCTACCCTAGGATTGTGAGTCATGCTACCCTAGGATTGTGAGTCATGCTACCCTAGGATTGTGAGACATGCTACCCTATGATTGTGAGTCATGCTACCCTAGTATTGTGAGGCATGCTACCCTAGGATTATGAGTCATGCTGCCCTAGGATTGTGAGTCATGCAACCCTTGGATTGTGAGTCATGCTACCCTAGGATTGTGAGACATGCTACCCTAGGATTGTGAGTCATGTTACCCTAGGATTGTGAGTAATGCTACCCTTAGATTGTGAGGCATGCTACCCTAGGATTGTGAGACGTGCTACCCTATGATTGTGAGTCATGCTACCCTAGGATTGTGAGACTTGCTACCCTATGATTGTGAGGCATGCTACCCAAGGATTGTGAGTCATGCTGCCCTAGGATTAAGATTCTTGCTACCCTTGGATTGTGAGTCATGCTACCATAGGATTGTGAGTCATGCTGCCCAAGCATTGTGAGTCATGCTACCCTATGATTGTGAGTCCTGCTACCCTAGGATTGTGAGTCATGCTGCCCTAGGATTGTGAGTCATGCTACCCTTGGATTGTGAGTCATGCTACCCTAGGATTGTGAGTCATGCTACCCTAGGCTTGTGAGTCATGCTACCCTTGGATTGTGAGACATGCTACCCTATGATTGTGAGTCATGCTACCCTATGATTGTGAGTCATGCTACCCTATGATTGTGAGTCATGCTACCCTAGAATTGTGAGTCATGCTACCCTATGATGGTGAGTCATGCTACCCTAGGATTGTGAGTCATGCTACCCTAGGATTGTGAGTCATGCTACCCTAGGATTGTGAGTCATGCTACCCTAGGATTGTGAGACATGCTACCCTACAATTGTGATTCATGTTACCCTAGGATTGGGAGTCATGCTACCCTAGGAATGTGAGGCATGCTACCCTAGGAATGTGAGACTTGCTACCCTATGATTGTGAGTCATGCTACCCAAGTATTGTGAGGCATGCTACCCTAAGATTGTGAGTCATGCAGCCCTATGATTGTGAGTCATGCTACCCTATGATTGTGAGTCATGCTACCCTATGATTGTGAGTCATGCTACCCTAGAATTGTGAGTCATGCTACCCTAGGATTGTGAGTCATGCTACCCTAGGATTGTGAGTCATGCTACCCTAGGATTGTGAGACATGCTACCCTAGGATTCTGAGTCATGCTACCCTAGGATTGTGAGTCATGCTACCCTAGGATTGTGAGACATGCTACCCTAGGATTGTGAGACTTGCTACTCGATGATTGTGAGTCATGCTACCCTAGTATTATGAGGCTTGTTACCCTAGGATTGTGAGTCATGCTGCCCTAGGATTGTGAGTCATGCTACCCTAGGATTGTGAGTCATGCTACCCTATGATTGTGAGTCATGCTACCCTAGGATTGTGAGACTTGCTACCCTATCATTGTGAGTCATGCTACCCAAGTATTGTGAGGCATGCTACTGTTATTATCACAATAGGCTTAGATGTGCCTATAATGAGAGATAGAGAGCACAGTCGGATTTCTGTCAGACGGCTTCAAATACTGATAACGATCTGGTCACTGAATCAAACGGTGATGTGTAAATTGGATCTGGAGCGTGTTGCTGTCGTCTATCAGCAGCAAGTTGAATCATGAAATTCCATGAAGATTTGACGACGCTATGGCGGTTTGACTGGCAGGAGGTATAGCAGCCACAATAGTCTTAGGAGTACAAACTTAGCAAGAAGAGTTCGAGAGGGAGATGGTTCCCAGCCTCTACATACCCCAAGAGCCGAGGTCCAGGTTGGTGGTACACCACCACAGGGTCCCCAACCATGAAGAGTCTCGAAACCAACCCTCCAAGGGGCTACACCAAGTGAAATGTAACACTACACGAAGTAACGTTACTATTTTCACTATTTAATATTTATCCGCGTCCCTTGGGCTTGAAATCTTGAGCTCTTGTTCCTGGATCTGCAAGATAAATTCTTCTTGAGTTGATGGGGGCTTGCTGCACACACCTGCGACACGATCGACACTTCACACTCGACAAAATAGAAAAAACACATGCGACACACAAACGACGACTTGACATGCGAGTTGTAAAAACTTGCTAATGTCTTGACCGACACAAACCACATTGTGATACACCATTCAAACACACACACAAGCACTGGATAGCAATGACATAGACTCACAATTCATTCCATGCCATGCATGCACACACACAAACAAGGACGACAAGCCGAGTGCAAGCCATAGGGTTGCACCAACAAACTCCCCCTCGGATTGTTGGCCTTAGAATCTGCTCCCCTTAGTTCAGAGCCATCCCAGCAAGCTTGCAACACTTCCAATGCTGCTGCTCAACCAGCCTCTTGGTCATCATATCAGCTGGCTGCGCCGTCGTCTTCACGTAGTGCAACTCCACTTCACCCGCGGTTACCATGCTCCTCACCCAATGCCACTTCACCTTCATGTGCTTGGTAAGGCCATGAAGAACGGGGTTCTTAGCCAATGCAATAGCACCCTGGCTATCACAGTAGAGTGGGGTAGGTCCTTGCTGCTCCTCCCCCAATTCAGCTAGCAAACGCCGCTGCCACACAACCTCTCTTATGGCACGGAAGAGTGCCATGTACTCGGACTCCACCGAGCTCAATGCTTGGTCCACTTGCTTCTTGCTCTCCCAAGCTGTTGGCCCTCCACCAACACAGCAGATGAAGCCTCCCACACTTGTCATGTCCTCTGGTTCTGATGCCCAAGATGCATCAGAGAAGGCGGTGAGAAAAAGCCTCCCGGGTTCGACTCCATCCGCACCCTTTTGACGCCTTTGTGCCGCCGCGGAGTATTGCAGTCCAACAGTTGCTGTTTGGCCAAGGTACTTGGCCACTCTCTCTCCAGCTGCTACCTGCTCTTCATTAGGGCATTGGACAACCCTAGCCAGCTGCCCGGTAGCAAAGGCTGCATCCGGCCTTGTGTGAACGGCCGCATACATGAGGCTGCCCACCAAGGAGTGAAAACGGCGCCTCTCCTCTTCACCAACACTTTCCTCCGCTGGTCCTTTCACACACTTGAACCCTGAGGGAAGAGGAGTAGCCACATGACCTTCACTCTTCCCAAAGTTTGCAGCCAAGGCCTCCAAGTACTTCTTTTGATGCACTCGCATCCACCGCTTCTCCACATCTCGCTCAATGTGAAGCCCAAGGTAGTAGTTGACGTCACCAAGGGTCTTGCACTTGAACTTGTCTTGAAGCTTCAGCATCACCTCCTTCACAAGGTCAGAGGAGGGTGAGAATATAAGGATGTCATCCACATAAACCACCATGAAGCTCCTCTGCTCCCCCTCGCCAAGCATGAACAACGATTGATCGGCCGTTGAGGGAGTGAAGCCGATCGCCTCCAAAACTTCCCGCAGCTTGATGTACCATTGCCTAGGGGCTTGCTTGAGGCCATAGAGTGCTTTCTTCAGCTTCCACACTCTGCCACTCCCATCATTGTACCCCTCTGGCTGCTCCATGTAGGTTTCTTCCTCCAAAACGCCGTTGAGGAAGGCCGTTACGATATCCATTTGCTTCACCACCCATCCTTTGATGGCCGCCGCGGCGTAGAGGGTTCGAAGGGTTGTACCCTTCACCACAGGAGCATACACTTCATTGTAGTCCTTCTTCTCTTGCTGCTGATACCCCTTGGCTACAAGTCTGCTCTTGTAGCGCTCGATGTTGCCGTCGGCGTCGGTCTTGCGCTTGAAGAGCCACTTGGAAGAGATCGCCTTACGCCCCGGAGGTAGGTTCACCAAGTCAAGCGTGTCGTTCTCGATGATGCTCCCCATTTCTTCATCTGAGGCCTTCTTCCACTCCTTCCCATTGGGGCCCTCCCAAGCCTCCTTGGGATTTGTAGGCTCCCCCGGCATCTCCACCGGAGAGAAGAAGGCAAAGGCGCACTCCTCGCTTTCATCTTCCGCATCATCGCCTAGCATGAGAGCCGAACCGGTCAAGGTTGAGTTGGCTGGTCTTCCAAGCCGATCATAGCTCAACCTATTAGGGGGCTGAGTTCTCCTTCTCCCCCTTCCTTCCTCCTCTGCTGCAGGGACTTGAATGCTCTCATGGCATTGCGGTAAATCTGGTCGGTTCCCACGAGCACTTGTAGCACGAGGCGGAAGTGACGGTGCACGCTCATCACCTTGCTGCACCTCCTCCTCCTCTTCATCCCCATTCATTTGAGGAGATTGCCTCGTGACTGTGCTGCTGCTACTCAGCTCCAAGGGCAGCTCCACATGCTCCAAGCCGTTACTCTTCACCTCTCCAAGCCGCATACCAATCTTCGCTTGGTTCTCCGCCTTCCACTCCTTGTACGGTAAGTTCTCCATGAACTTGCAATCTCTGCTCACCAAGAACTTCTTGGTAAATGGGTCCCAAAGAAGCCATCCCTTGCTGTTTTGAGCCATGCCCAGGTGCACGGCCCATGTTGCCTTGGCATCAAGTTTGTTGTGCCGAAGTTTCTTAGGCACAAGTGCCATGCACATGCACCCGAACACCCGAAGCATATCCACCTTCGGCTTCCTTCCAATCCACTCCACATAGGGCACCCATTTGTCTTCTCCCACATGAGTCAAGGCTCTGTTCTTGGCCACACAAGCATGCCGCACCGCATCCGGCCAAAAGTAATTGGGAAGACCGGCTTCAATGAGAAGTCCCCGAGCCGTCTCCGTGAGTGTCCGATTCGCACGCTCGGCGATGCCGTTCATTGCAGGAGAGTAGGGCATGGTAAGAGAGTGCCTTATGCCCTGCTTCTTCAGCCAAGTTGAGAAATCCTTGCTCAGGAACTCTCCCCCACGGTCAGTGCGAATCGCCTTCACAAGTCGGTCTTGTTGCCGCTCCACCATCGGCAACCAATCGGTCTTCACCGTTTCAGCTACGTCACTCTTCTTTGGCAGCACATACACCCAAGTCATGCGAGTGTAGACGTCCACAATGGTGAGGAAGTACGCAGCTCCAGCAGCTCCAAGCTTCAAGGGGCCCACCACATCCATCACCACCTCATCAAGTGGTGCCTTCGCCGTTGTCTCCGAGCTATGGAACGGGTAGCGGGTGAACTTGGCTTGCATGCATGTTGGACAGCCAAGCACCTCATTGGGCTCCCCCTTGACACGTATCCCACTGACCATCTCTTGCTTAACTATCTGCTGCAAAATGGGCAATGCCACATGCCCCATTCGCCGATGCAAGGTCAGCCAATCACACTCTCCCGTAGCGGAAGTCGGGTTGGAGAAAGCGGCACTCGCAATCGTGTCCCACAAGCTCTCTCCTTTCTCCTTCGCCGCTGCTGCTTTGCTGATCTTAGGTTTCCCCTCCTCATTTCCACCACCTTTGGCTGCTGCACTACTCTCCTTGGGTTCACACGCCTTGCTGGTCTCTCCAAGATTGCACTCCTTCGAGTCACTCTTGGTGTCACTTTGTTTTCCGTGATCACCGCCACCATCCGCTTCACTCTTGGTGCTGACGCTTGCTGCCACTTGCCTCTCCTTAGGCATGGGGACCACTGGGATTTGCCACATCTCATTGTAGATGTCCCTGTCCTCATGAAGGTCCCAAAGCTTCCGCTCACCAAGCCTCGCGGTATATGTTTTCGAACCCTTGGAAGATGTGTCCATGCCGGCCTTTTGCAAACGCCGAACGGAAATCAGGTTGGCTGCTAGGTTGGGCACCAAAAGCACGTTCTTGAGGCCCACCATCTTCCCATCAGCACCCTTGAACATGGCCTTGCCCATGCCTTTCACCTCTGCTCGCTGTCCCAAAGCCGATGTAACATGCTTGACCGGCGACGGTTCGAGTTCGGTGAGCAAGTCCGCACGAGGTGTCATGCTATAGGTGGCGCCGCTATCGATCACCCAAAAGTCCAGAGAGTGAAGGGTGACCTTTCCCACAGTAGCTGGCTCCTCAAAGCCTTCCACACCTCCTGCTGCAGCTGCCGCTTGCGTGGAGACAAAGAAGAATTGGCCCGGGTATCGATCTTCACTCGAGTCCTTGTCGTAGTCTCCACCTTTCATGCTTGCCGCTTCGCCTCCACGGCCACCACGGCCTCCACGACCTCTGCCTCTTCCTCCCCTTGCTCCTCTGCCCTCTTGGCCTTGAGAGGGGGTCCAGCCATCAGGTAGTTTGAAGCAATCTCTCCACATGTGGCCGGTCTTGTGGCAAAAGTGGCATTCGCCATCAAATCGACCGCGCCCACGCCCGTAGCCATTGTTGTTGCTGCCATATCCTCCATTACCACGGCCTCCATTGAAGTTGCTGCTGCCAAATCTGCCTCCTCGCCCTCTGCCCCTTCCACGGCCGTGCCCACGGCCCATGCTTGCAACTCCGGCACCATCGGGACCCGCCAATTCGCGACGGCGGAAATCTTCTTGTAAGATTTCCCGCTTCACATCTTCGAGTGAGAGACGGGGCAGATCTCGATTAAGGTTGATGATGAGCGAGGACCATGAGTCCGGAAGTAAGGCTAGCAGCTTGGTCTTCTTTTGAAGGTCACTGTAGTTCAGGTCAGCTCCTTCGAGCCGTGTCAACAAGTCGAAGAATTTCTGCACTCCTTCCTCCACCGGTTCGCCTTCGTCAATTCGAAGTGCCGCCATTTGCCGCTCCAAAACCACAGCCACCGCCGCTGTTGCAGGAGCGTGTACACCCTTGAGAGCAGCCCATGCCTTTGGTCCCTTTGCTGGTTCACGCTGAAAAGGCTTGATGTGACGGATTTGGCTGCTCCCCAACGCTTGCCCAAGTAGAAGGTAGCCTTGTGCGCTCTTCCGCACCCACGGGCTCTTCTCCGGGTCGTTCTCGGGGTGCTTCTCCGTTCCTTCCATCACCTCCAGCAGATCATAATGGTCAAAGATGTTCTCCATCTTGAAGGACCACTCAGCAAAGTTGTCACCGTTGAACTTGTCAAGGCCAAACACTCTAGGCTCATCCCTAGAGGGTCCAAGGCTAGGTTGCACCGGAGCAACGGGTGGATCTTGGTGTTGACCTTGTGCTTGGGCGTCTTCTCTGCCTCCAACACCTCTGCCACCCCCTTCCTCAGGCCTAGGCATGGTCGAGACAGCTCCAAGGGGCTCTGATACCACTTGTTATTATCACAATAGGCTTAGATGTGCCTATAATGAGAGATAGAGAGCACAGTCGGATTTCTGTCAGACGGCTTCAAATACTGATAACGATCTGGTCACTGAATCAAACGGTGATGTGTAAATTGGATCTGGAGCGTGTTGCTGTCGTCTATCAGCAGCAAGTTGAATCATGAAATTCCATGAAGATTTGACGACGCTATGGCGGTTTGACTGGCAGGAGGTATAGCAGCCACAATAGTCTTAGGAGTACAAACTTAGCAAGAAGAGTTCGAGAGGGAGATGGTTCCCAGCCTCTACATACCCCAAGAGCCGAGGTCCAGGTTGGTGGTACACCACCACAGGGTCCCCAACCATGAAGAGTCTCGAAACCAACCCTCCAAGGGGCTACACCAAGTGAAATGTAACACTACACGAAGTAACGTTACTATTTTCACTATTTAATATTTATCCGCGTCCCTTGGGCTTGAAATCTTGAGCTCTTGTTCCTGGATCTGCAAGATAAATTCTTCTTGAGTTGATGGGGGCTTGCTGCACACACCTGCGACACGATCGACACTTCACACTCGACAAAATAGAAAAAACACATGCGACACACAAACGACGACTTGACATGCGAGTTGTAAAAACTTGCTAATGTCTTGACCGACACAAACCACATTGTGATACACCATTCAAACACACACACAAGCACTGGATAGCAATGACATAGACTCACAATTCATTCCATGCCATGCATGCACACACACAAACAAGGACGACAAGCCGAGTGCAAGCCATAGGGTTGCACCAACAGCTACCCTAGGATTGTGAGTCATGCTGCCCTAGGATTGTGAGTCATGCAACCCTTGGATTGTGAGTCATGCTACCCTAGGATTGTGAGTCATGCTGCCCAAGCATTGTGAGTCATGCTACCCGAGGATTGTGAGTCATGCTACCCTAGAATTGTGAGTCATGCTACCCTATGATTGTGAGTCATGCTGCCCAAGGATTGTGAGTCATGCTACCCGAGGATTGTGAGTCATGCTACCCTATTATTTTGAGTCATGCTACCCTAGGATTGTGAGTCATGCTGCCCTAGGATTGTGGGTCATGCTTCCCTTGGATTGTGAGTCATGCTACCCTAGGATTGTGAGTCATGCTACCCTAGGATTGTGAGTCATGCTACCCTAGGATTGTGAGACATGCTACCCTATGATTGTGAGTCATGCTACCCTAGTATTGTGAGGCATGCTACCCTAGGATTATGAGTCATGCTGCCCTAGGATTGTGAGTCATGCAACCCTTGGATTGTGAGTCATGCTTCCCTAGGATTGTGAGTCATGCTGCCCAAGCATTGTGAGTCATGCTACCCGAGGATTGTGAGTCATGCTACCTTAGAATTTTGAGTCATGCTACCCTATGATTGTGAGTCATGCTACCCTAGGATTTTGAGTCATGCTGCCCTAGGATTGTGAGTCATGCTACCCTATGATGGTGAGTCATGCTACCCTAGGATTATGAGTCATGCTACCCTAGGATTGTGAGTCATGTTACCCTAGGATTGTGAGTCATGCTACCCTAGGATTGTGAGACATGCTACCCTAGGATTGTGAGACTTGCTACCCTATGATTGTGAGTCATGCTACCGTAGTATTGTGAGGCATGCTACCCTAGGATTGTGAGTCATGCTGCCCAAGGATTCTGAGTCATGCTACCTGAGGATTGTGAGTCATGCTACCCTAGAATTGTGAGTCATGCTACCCTATGACTGTGAGTCATGCTACCCTAGGATTGTGAGTCATGCTACCCTATGATTGTGAGTCATGCTACCCTAGAATTGTGAGTCATCCTACCCTATGATTGTGAGTCATGCTACCCTATGATTGTGAGTCATGCTACCCTTGGATTGTGACACATGCTACCCTATGATTGTGAGTCCTGCTACCCTAGAATTGGGAGTCATGCTACCCTAAGATTGTGAGTCATGCACCCCTATGATTGTGAGTCATGCTACCCTAGGATTGTGAGTCATGCTGCCCTATGATTGTGAGTCATGCTACCCTTGGATTGTGAGTCATGCTACCCTAGGATTGTGAGTCATGCTACCCAAGGCTTGTGAGTCATGCTACCCTAGGATTGTGAGTCATGCTACCCTAGGATTGTGAGTCATGCTACCCGAGGATTGTGAGTCATGCTACCCGAGGATTGTGAGTCATGCTACCCTAGGATTGTGAGTCATGCTGCCCTAGGATTGTGGGTCATGCTACCCTTGGATTGTGAGTCATGCTACCCTAGGATTGTGAGTCATGCTACCCTAGGTTTGTGAGTCATGCTACCCTTGGATTGTGAGACATGCTACCCTATGATTGTGAGTCCTGCTACCCTAGACTTGTGAGTCATGCTACCCTAGGATTGTGAGTCATGCAGCCCAAGGATTGTGAGTCATGCTACCCTAAGATTGTGAGTCATGCAGCCCTATAATTGTGAGTCATGCTACCCTATGATTGTGAGTCATGCTACCCTATGATTGTGAGTCATGCTACCCTAGAATTGTGAGTCATGCTACCCTATGATGGTGAGTCATGCTACCCTAGGATTGTGAGTCATGCTACCCTAGGATTGTGAGTCATGCTACCCTAGGATTGTGAGACATGCTACCCTAGGATTCTGAGACATGCTACCCTAGGATTGTGAGACTTGCTACCCTATGATTGTGAGTCATGCTACCCTAGTATTGTGAGGCATGCTACCCTATGATTGTGAGTCATGCTGCCCAAGGATTGTGAGTCATGCTACCCGAGGATTGTGAGTCATGCTACCCTATAATTGTGAGTCATGCTACCCTAGGATTGTGAGTAATGCTGCCCTAGGATTGTGGGTCATGTTACCCTTGGTTTGTGAGTCATGCTACCCTAGGATTGTGAGTCATGCTACCCTAGGTTTGTGAGTCATGCTACCCTTGGATTGTGAGACATGCTACCCTATGATTGTGAGTCCTGCTACCCTACACTTGTGAGTCTTGCTACCCTAGGATTGTGAGTCATGCAGCCCAAGGATTGTGAGTCATGCTACCCTAAGATTGTGAGTCATGCAGCCCTATAACTGTGAGTCATGCTACCCTATGATTGTGAGTCATGCTACCCTATGATTGTGAGTCATGCTACCCTAGAATTGTGAGTCATGCTACCCTAGGATTGTGAGTCATGCTACCCTAGGATTGTGAGTCATGCTACCCTAGGATTGTGAGACATGCTACCCTAGGATTCTGAGACATGCTACCCTAGGATTGTGAGACTTGCTACCCTATGATTGTGAGTCATGCTACCCTAGTATTGTGAGGCATGCTACCCTAGGATTGTGAGTCATGCTGCCCTAGGATTGTGAGTCATGCTACCCTAGGATTGTGAGTCATGCTACCCTATGATTGTGAGTCATGCTACCCTAGGATTATGAGTCATGCTACCCTAGGATTGTGAGTAATGCTACCCTATGATTGTGAGTCATGCAACCCTATGATTGTGAGTCTGCTACCCTTGGATTGTGACACATGCTACCCTATGATTGTGAGTCCTGCTACCCTACACTTGTGAGTCTTGCTACCCTAGGATTGTGAGTCATGCAGCCCAAGGATTGTGAGTCATGCTACCCTAAGATTGTGAGTCATGCAGCCCTATAACTGTGAGTCATGCTACCCTATGATTGTGAGTCATGCTACCCTATGATTGTGAGTCATTCTACCCTAGAATTGTGAGTCATGCTACCCTAGGATTGTGAGTCATGCTACCCTAGGATTGTGAGTCATGCTACCCTAGGATTGTGAGACATGCTACCCTAGGATTGTGAGTCATGTTACCCTAGGATTGGGAGTCATGCTACCCTAGGAATGTGAGGCATGCTACCCTAGGATTGTGAGACTTGCTACCCTATGATTGTGAGTCATGCTACCCAAGTATTGTGAGGCATGCTACCCTAGGATTGTGAGTCATGCTGCCCTAGGATTGTGAGTCATGCAACCCTTGGATTGTGAGTCATGCTACCCTAGGATTGTGAGTCATGCTGCCCAAGCATTGTGAGTCATGCTACCCGAGGATTGTGAGTCATGCTACCCTAGAATTGTGAGTCATGCTACCCAATAATTGTGAGTCATGCTGCCCAAGGATTGTGAGTCATGCTACCCTATAATTGTGAGTCATGCTACCCTAGGATTGTGAGTCATGCTGCCCTAGGATTGTGGGTCATGCTACCCTTGGATTGTGAGTCATGCTACCCTAGGATTGTGAGTCATGCTACCCTAGGTTTGTGAGTCATGCTACCCTTGGATTGTGAGACATGCTACCCTATGATTGTGAGTCCTGCTACCCTAGACTTGTGAGTCATGCTACCCTAGGACTGTGAGTCATGCAGCCGAAGGATTGTGAGTCATGCTACCCTAAGATTGTGAGTCATGCAGCCCTATGATTGTGAGTCATGCTACCCTATGATTGTGAGTCATGCTACCCTATGATTGTGAGTCATGCTACCCTAGGATTGTGAGTCATGCTGCCCTAGGATTGTGAGTCATGCTGCCCTATGATGGCGAGTCATGCTACCCTAGGATTGTGAGTCATGCTACCCTAGGATTGTGAGACATGCTACCCTAGAATTCTGAGACATGCTACCCTAGGATTGTGAGACTTGCTACCCTATGATTGTGAGTCATGCTACCCTAGTATTGTGAGGCATGCTACCCTAGGATTGTGAGTCATGCTGCCCTAGGATTGTGAGTCATGCTACCCTAGGATTGTGAGTCATGCTACCCTATGATTGTGAGTCATGCTAC